ATCATCTTTGTTGCTCTTCTCTGTACTCTTGCTAGAGTCTCAACATCTTTTTTACATCGTGGTGACCAAAACTGGATGCAGTATTCCAAGTGTGGCCTTACCAAGGCATTGAAGAGTGGTATTAATACTTCACATGATCTTGATTCTATCCCTCTGTTAATGCAGCCTCGCACTGTGTTGGCCTTTTTGGCAGCTGCAGCACACTGCTGGCTCATATTTAAGTGATTGTCTACTAGGACTCCGAGGTCCCTCTCACAGTTACTACTATTGAGCATTGTGCCACCTATGCTGTACTTGTGCATTTGGTTTTTCTTGCCTAAATGTAGAACCTTGCTTTTTTCACCATTGAATTTCATTTTGTTAGTTAGTGCCCAGTGTTCAAGTCTGTCCAGATCCTTCTGTATCTTAAGCCTGTCTTCTGGAGTGTTGGCTATTCCTGCCAGCTTGGTGTCATCTGCAAATTTGATGAGTTCCCCATCTATCCCTTCATCCAAATCGGTGATGAAGATGTTGAAGAGTACTGGGCCCAGAACAGAGCCCTGGGGCACCCCACTACACACTTCCCTCCATATAGATGCAGTTCCATTGAGGACCACTCGCTGAGTACGGCCGGTCAGCCAGCTACGGATCCATCTGGTGGTGGTTCTGTCTACCCCACATTTGTCTATCTTGTCAAGTAGTAGGTTGTGATCTACTTTATCAAATGCCTTACTGAAGTCCAAGTAAATTATGTCCACAGCATTCCTCTGATCCACTAATTTTGTCACTTGGTCAAAGAATGCAATAAGATTTGTCTGGCATGATCTGTTTTTGACAAACCCATGTTGGCTTTTAGTAGAGACTTTGTTTGTCTCTAGGTGTTCGTTGATTCGTTTTTTCTGTGTCAGTTCCTTGTTTCCTTTCAAGAAGGGGCAATGCCCCCATTTGCTCATTTCCTGTTTGTTCCAGCTTGTCAGTATTCATGTACTCTTCCCATCCTACACTTGAGCAGATATGTGAAAAGGGAAGGGGCCTACCCACAATTGCAGTGAGGTACAAATTGCTTAATTGTAGAAGAAGGTATGTATCCACTGACATAGCCCTTGGCAAATAAATAAATAAGCAGAGCAATAAAATACAAAACTTTTAACAAAGAATTTTATACACCAGTAATTTGCTAGAAAAAAATGCCACAATTGCTTGTTAGTTAGTTCATCAATTAACAACCTGGCCATTCTTTTTGAATGGAAAAACCCCAGAAAGTTTTTCCCTACCTATCCTTACTTAGATTGTTGTTTGAAATTGTTGATGCAGCTTCACTATTATCAGTTTCCCAATTTTTGGGTGTTTGCACTATGGCTTTATATTAACTTGTGAACCACCAACTTAACAAAATTGAATTATTATATGTTGATTAAGTTTAAATTAAGTACTAATTGCAGACTTTTAATTTTGTATTTTATTACAGTGCTTTCAACACTGTTTTTGAAAGAACGCATAGTTTTTGAAAGAATGCAAAAATCATGGGGTTAAAAAGACATACCAGTCCAGTAAACTAATAAAGCAACAACAGGGTATTTTGAAAAGGAAACGCAAACATGAGACCAAAAGATCAGATAGAAGACAAATTTACCGTTTTCCTGAAGTGAAGGCTTAATCTGATAGTGAAAAGTTGGAGCATTTACTGAAATAGGAAAATGGGGCAATGAGAGTGGAAAAGAAAAGATGTGCTGACTTGAAAAGAACTAATATCCCGTATTTGTTGTACTCAGTACATTTAATTAACTCACATCTGAGGGCTAATGCTACAAAGGTTACTTTTTTAATTTATTAAATTTCTGGTTTATAATTTCAGCTGGGGGATTATCATGTATCTCCAAGTAAATTCTGGGCTGAAGAGTACATAAAACTAACAATAATCTACAGTTCTTGGACCATTTTTTGCTCCATACAGCTGCTGGCTTTCCTAGCTAAAGGATTCCAGATGTTGTTTTGTTTTTTCAAATATTATTTATTGAAATGTTATTAATGCTCAGTGATATTGCTTAATAGATATGTAATCCTGAAAGTAATACATAAATAACTGTAATACGTACATAAATAAAATTAAAAGACTCTGGCATATGATAATGCTAGGGACAACCTATTGCATGGGTCCCCAACCCCTGAGCCATGGCCCACTCTCGGATTGTGGCCTATTCAGAACTGGGCCATGCACACAGCTCAACTCATGCAAGTCAAACTACATATGTGCGTGCACCAGCCTGCCACTCACACAAGTCAAGCTGTATGCGCATGCGCTGGCTTGCTACTCACAGCCCAGTTCCCCTCTCCCCTCCCCCCCAGCCAGGCCGCCAAGCCGCAAAGGGTGGAGACCACTGACCTATTACTTTCAGCAGGCTGGGAATTTGGGAGTTACTTTCCCATACAGCTATGGGCATAAATTTGGAGAAAACTGCAATAGACCCAATAAATTAAAGATGGCAATTACTGGAAAATGTGCTGATTAACATTCAAAAGTCAGTATGTAGATAAGAAACATACATAGGCTGTTGTCTTTCTGCATCATTTTTTTTTACTCTAGCTCATTCCTTCAGAACAATTTTACATACAGTAGATGTGTTTTTGGAGATTTGTGTACTCAGGCATTAAGTAAAGGTTCTCCCTGAGAATAATATGCATTTTCCCCAAGCTGGTTTTTCTGGTTTGTAGTCCCCTGATTTGTTTTTCTCCCCCTGAAGCCAGTAGCTGCTTGTTTGTTTTATTCAACCATAGATAGAGGAAAGAAGCTAATTCTGAACATTAAATATAATTCTTAAAGTATATTTTTCCCCAATGGCTTGCAGTTGGTAGATATGCAAAAGAAGAAAGGTAACGGTGGAGGAAAACAAGGAGGATAAGAATAAAAGGCCTGCAGAGACAGATTTTGGAAAGTGGTAGTCAAACAACAGTTTATCACTATTGTAACTTTTTTTTCCATTCTATTCCCCACCCCACCCAATCTATCAAATTTATATGGCCACCCATGACACAAGAAATGGCTACTAATACTGACTATTCTAGAGATGGCCAGATATTGGTAGCCCAAAGTTATTCATGTAAATTGCTTTGAAAGAATTTTGTATGCATTAAGGGTTCTTTATTATTAGTGTTTGCTAAATTTTAATGAAATATTAGATCTTTGCCTCTGAAAAGGCAAAGAAAATTGATTTAATAATTACGCAAATATCCAGATAGCAGCCCCTAGGTTGCTAGGATCCAAAAATTAATAACACTGCTTCCTGTGATGGTTTATTTAGGCCATTTCACCAGTAGTGGTTTATTATGCCTTCATTGTACCATACAACCGTCTCTGAAGTGCCTGACCTCAAAATTACTTTTGCATGATTCTAAAAGATGCCACAGGTCTCTAGAGGGGAAATGTAATCATAAATGCTACAGGAATGAACGTTACAATTTCATTTCAATTGTGATACATTTAGTTATACCAAGCCAAAACCAAGTAAGCCACGTGTGCTTTCTGAAATCCAGTTATTGGGATCTGGAAAACATTATTTATGGGCTTTTGTGATGTCAGGGTCAGGTCTGCATGTGTATGTGGGGTGGGCAAATGAGACCTTTGTAAAATAGGTTATTTTACAACATTTTGAAGATTGACAATGCACAAGCTTTAGCTTGAAAGTACATAATATTGACACAAATAGCATTATCAGTAGTATTATGAGCAGACGTATTCCCTGTGCTTGCCAAGTGACTTTTTTTTAATGCTTCCTCTGTTCTTCATATTCTGATAAAATCTTTTCTTTCAACTCTTATCGCTTATAGGAATAAAAGCCTTCTGCATTTATGCAGCATTAAAATTAGGGTGTGTTTGTTTTTATTGGCTGACTAAAAATAACTGAATGTATGATAAACTGGAAAAACTTCATTAGTTCAAAAAATAAAATGAGGGAAGGAATGCAGGATCAATATTATTCTCTACTTCAACTGAGTGCTAGATCTAAGTCAGTGGTGACGAACCTATGGCATGGGTTCTAGAGGCAGCACTCGGAGTCCTCTCTGTGGGCACACGTGCCGTTGCCCCAGACTTGCCTCTGCCCATGACCCCCTCCTCACCAGCAGCTCCCCTGGAGGAGAGTCACCCCCGAGCGTGGCCTTTGCGGAGCAGCGCAGCCAAGGACATGGAAGCCAGGCAGCGTAGACAAGACTCTGCCCTCATGCCCCAACATGCACAGTTGATGCTGCGGGGCACGGGCAGAGGGCATGGCTACTATGGTGCTGCTGGGCTGCCTGGGCGATCTGCGGCGGGCCCTCGGGGCTGTGAATAGCCCTGCGGGCAGGCAGAGTGGGGCGGAGCGGGGGCGGGGCAGGGAGTGGAGCGGGGGTGGGGCAGGGGGTGGGGCAGGGCCAGGGCCAGGGTCTCTAAAAGGTTCGCCATCACTGGTCTAAGTCATGGCTGCAGTTTCTGCTTTAGTACAGGTAATCCTTCACTTACAAAAGTTCGCCTAGTGACTGTTTGAAGTTATAGCCACATCAAAAAAAGTGACTTAACAACTATTTTTCACACTTATGACCGTTGCAGCATCCCCATGGTCATGTGATTTATATTCAAATGCTTGACAACTGACTCACATTTATGATGGTTGCAGTGTCCCGGGGTCATGTGATCACCTTTTGCAACCTTCTGACAAGCAAAGTCAATGGGGAAACTAGATTCATTTAACAACCATGTTACTAAGTTAACAACTGCAGTGATTCACTTAACAAATGTGGCAAGAAAAGTCACAAAATGGAGCAAAACTCACTTAACAAATTTCTCACTTAGCAACATAAATTGTAGGCTCAATTGTAGTGGTAAGTCGAGGGCTATCTGTAGAAGGTACAAGGTGACCAATTCTCATTTCATTCCTTCAGAAATCTTGATAATTAACTTCTCATAGTTAGAACTTTTCAATTTACTTTCTGAGACATTTTTCATTATTGAGAAATATTTGAAAATGTCCTATCCTTTTCCTTTGCAGAACGGTTCGGGTCTGGATGAAGAGAGATAATGGTCAATACTGGCCAAGCATCTACCATACAATGCCATGTAAGTATTTTGTGATGTAAAATATTATTTTCCTCTTTATTTTTTCTCTCTGCCTTGTTTTGCACTTAAATGTTAGGAATTCATGGTTAAACAGGGCTTAACATTTGGATTTTCAGTAACACAAGATTTTCAATTTGTTCTTTTCTGACATTCTAAAAATATTCTAAAGAAAATATTAATAGGAGAATAAACTAATAAGTGGTGGTTCTGTTAAATTGTACGACAGACTAGCTGGCCTTAATGGTACCTCAAAAACATGAAACGTGGCTCTCAAACATAGTGGTGCAGATGTAGATGCTAACAGGCTTCTGCAAAAGATGGAACCAGTTTAAACTTGTAACAAAAAGAGACATTTCTTATTAGAGCTTTCTGGGAAAGGAGCATGGTTGATTTGTATAGGTAAGTAAGGCATGAAGCCAACAGACTGAATGAAAACAGTTTATAAATTCAGTCATGTGGCTTTATAGGCAATATTGATTTGTATAAATGAGGAATATAGCATGTGGGGAAAGTTGCATAAATAGCTCTGAGTATATTTAGATTTAGCTGAAAAATTGATTCCTGTTCTTTTTCTTGTTTAAAACTGGAAATACGGACAGTCTAAATAGACATCCAATACCTTGAAAATATTAGAAATCCAAAAAGTTGTAACAAGGGTGAAATATTTCTGATTTGGAGATGGCTATCAGTTTAATTAATCTGACATGGAAATAATCAAACAGTGCATAGCTAAAAAGTATGTTAATATTAAGGTGACCAACTTTTTTACAATGAAAAGGAGGACACAAATAAATTGAAGAAAAAATATCGTAAATAAAAGAAACATTTATTGCAACAATAATACAGACTACTTGCATCTGCAAAGTTTGCCAGCCGGGTGTTTTGGCACGCTGAGCAGCAATTCCTATTGGCTTTCAAAAGCCAATAGTGGGAGTAGCACAGCTCATGTAAAAGTTGAAAAAAAAAACCATCAAAAAAAGGTGCCGGAACACCGTTCTGAGCGTTCTATGAGGGGGAAAAAAAGCCCTGCAGATTAGTCTTCAAATATCGAAAAGGAGGACATGAAGGAGGACACTTTTTGAGGGAGGACAGAACTTACAAAAGGAGGACTATCCCCCCTAAAGGAGGACGGTTGGCCACCTTAGTTAATATGTATGTATTGCTTGATATCTTTGATAATTTTAATTTCTCGAGACAAAAAACAGATCAACTTGATCTAAAACATTCATAGCTGTGACTTGTAGCTAAGAAATTACCCCGAAATGTTCATTGGATTTATATCTTGCCTGTATTCACGTCTAGGTTTGTACTGCATCTCAGCAGCTGTCAGAAAAAGATGCAAAGCATTAGAACAGATTGTGAGAACTCCTGGCCTTAGAAACAATTCACGTGTTGGCAAACATGAGCTTATTAATTTGCTTGACCCTGATCTAATCTTTCATTATGAAATGATAACTGTGCCACCTTCAGGTAACCCTGTCATAGAGTCTAGTAGTCACAAATAACTCTAGGAATCACTTCTAGCTCTGAGTTTGGTGCTCTGATTTTCTGGATGCCTTGTTTCCTCTCCTGGCTTTGTGTGGTTAGTTCTACACCTCTTGTTCTTCTGTTATGCTTTGAGGTCTGTTTTGTTTCCCCTCGGGCTGTTTTGATTTGGATTCAAGAATCTGAAAAGTTTTGTTTTCTGTCGCACTTGTGGTTGACAACTTTCAGGCCTAAGAGTTAAAATATACCAGGTTCGTGATCAGTCCCTGCATGTTCTTGTGGTGTAAGTAGGTGGCGTTTTGGAAGCCACAACATTCCTTCCCTCTTGCTCTCGCTTCTGATCTACAAGCTCTTTCTGAATTTTATCCAATATCCTTTTTGTCCAGCTAAAGGTAGACTGTGCATTTCATTCCACATCTCTGCAAGGTTTTTCAGAATCGCTTGTCATTCTCTTCTTCCTAGGGCTAAGAGAAATTTCACTGAGCTGGCTTTGTGCCTAATGTGGGACTACAACTCATAATCTCCCAGTTTCTAGCTTGGTGCTTTAGTTTAACCCAAGGGTAGGCAACCTTGGCTCTTTTATGACTTGTGGACTTCAACTCCCAGAATTCCTGAGCCAGCATGGCTGGCTCAGGAATTCTGGAAGTTGAAGTCCACAAGTCATAAAAGAGCCAAGGTTGCCTACCCCTGGGTTAAACTAACCCAGGTTTAACCATTATACCAGACTGTTTCTCACTGTAGGTTAATATAATTTTTGGGGGGTGGGTGGGGAGGAGACCCTCAATTGAGATTTGCTTTCTTGGTCTGGGAATCTTGTCTGGAGGTGTCATCCCAATCCATATTTGCCTGTTAGAAAACTGACAGGATTTGTAACAAAGACAGGTGGGTGCCATCCTGCATAAAATATAAGATGTTTTTGACACTGCTAAAAATATAATTGTAATAAGGCAGCCTAAATTATGTATGCTTCTTTTAAAACCTATTAACAATAATGAAACATATACAACTCTCATGTCTGTTTCGTGAAGCCATAGTTTCTGACCAGGACTATAGCTGATGGACAGTTATAGATTTAATTCTGAAAAGCTGACGACATGGCACATGTTCTTCTACAATCTAATCTTTGTTCTCTATATTTGCATCTCTCACTTTTTTACACTGTTGTGCTAGGAGCCTCTGGAGAATCTGACATTCTCACATCACTGTGTATATTTGTTTTGGAAACTGTCTGTTTAATGTCTTAAACATTTAAACCACCCACCTGCCCTATCCAGCAAAATATTTGATGGTAAATAACCCAACTATTGTAGCTGACTTTGCTTTTGTTGGAAAAAAATGTGGGTTTTTCTTGAAACATTGTCAACAAAAAGACTAGGCATATTGGACTCGAGGAAGGAAAACAAATCAACATTCATAAAGGCAAGATCTTTATTAGATGAATGTAAAAATTTCCAAAATATTACAAACCCTTGAGTTTCAAGAACATATCAGCAGAGAAAAGTAAAAGGCGTGGTGGGTTCAGACAGTCTTTCCAGACTCTTCATCAGGTGGAGCTCAAGGAGGCGTGGGAATTGTCTTCTGCAGGTGTGTGCTTCAACTCTCCTCTTAGGTTGTGTTGTTTATTTTTGTGTGCCTTGGGAAGCATAGGGCAGGCTGCGTATCCTGTGTTCTGGGTCAGGTGACCAGGAAGAGAGCACAGCATGGAGCATCCTTTTAGATGCTGAAGCAGGGGGAGGATTATTTCTGGATATTTTTCTCAATTTTCATTTGCCAGCTCCTCCTCCCACAGCAAATTTGGTCCCACGCTGTTCGGTTTCTGGAAAGTTATTTTGCTGACAGACAGGCAGTCAGATTCCTGGCCTTCTTTACAGAGTTTCTTTCCAACATTTCCTTATGTTGGAAGGAATAAAATGGAAGGAGAAAGAAAAAATGTGGCTCATCTCCGACTCCGCCTTCCGAAATTGCACTGCTACATAGAAGAGTAGAGAGCTTGAAGACGTAACGTCTCGTCGTATTTAGTTCCTAAGCAGAGTTAGATTGTACTAGTTCTTTTCCCATTTAGGACAGGTAGTCCTTGACTTATGACCACGATTGAGCCCAAAATTTCCATTGTTAAGTGAGACATTTGTTAGGTGAATTTTGTCCCATTTTATGACCTTTCTTGCAACATTTGTTAAAGTGAGTAATGGTAATTGTTAAGTTAGTAACCCGGTTGTTAAGTGAATCTGGCTTCCCCATTGACTTTGCTTGTCAGAAGGTCACAAAAGGGGATCACATGACCCCGGGACACTGCAACCGTCGTAAATATGAGCCGGTTTTGCCAAGTGTCTGAATTTTGATGACATGACTTTTGGAGATGCTGCAGTGGTCGTAAGTGTGAAAAAAGGTCATAAGTTACTTCTTTTCAGTGCTGTTGTAACTTTGAACAGTCATTAAATGAATTGTTGTAAGTCAAGAACTACCTGTATTTGTTTGGAAGAAGAAAGGGAAAAAAGGTGGGTTAATTCTCTCTTTTAAAAAAAATATAAATTCCAGTTTTTAAAGTAAAAATGTTTCCATCATATGGAAGAAAACAGATTTGGTTTTGTGTGGGAAAGAGAAACCAGCTCTTTACCACATTATGTTGGTAATGCGAAGACTGGTGATTAAATTCCATTTTTTGTTTTCCACTAACTTCACTACTTTTTTTTATTTTGCCTACATACATATAATCTATTCATAGTTTGTGGTAATTTATTTACAAGTTTTTATGACTCCAAAAATTATGACAGAAATATTGTTTGATCAGTTAAAGTAAGGTGACCAACCGTCCTCCTTTAGGGAGGACAGTCCTCCTTTTTTAAGTTCTGTCCTCCTACATGTCCTCCTTTTTGATATTTGAAGACTAATCTGCAGGGCTTTTTTTTTCTCATAGAACACTCAGAACGGCGTTCTGGCATCTTTTTTTGATGTTTTTTTTTTCAACTTTTGCATCAGCTGTGCTGCTCCCCCTATTGGCTTTCGAAAGCCAATAGGAATTGCTGGTGAGCGCGCCAAAACACCCGGCTGGCAAACTTTGCACATGCAAGTTGTCTACAGCGAAGGCGAATTGGCAGGAACTTTGCACACCTCCCTGCTACCCAACTACACCATCTCCTAGTTCAGCGGTTCTCAACCTGTGGGTGGCGACCCCATTTGGGGTCGAACGACCATTTCACGGGGGTCACCAAACAATGCAGTCCGCCATTTTTTTCCCCTTTTCCTTAGCTGTGCTACTCCCTTTTATTCTATTGGCTTTTGAAAGCCAATAGAATAGACTCTCTTGAATAGAGTCTAATTCTATTGGCTTTCAAAAGCCAATAGGAATTGTCCAGGCTATCTCTGCCCTGCTGAGCCCGCCAAAAGCCCCAGTCTGCAAATGGTGCTACAAGTTGTCTGCAGCGAAGGCGAGCTGTCTGAAAGCTTCCACCCCTCCCTGCTGAGCAACTACTAAAAATGTAAGTAAAAGAGGGCCAGAGGTAGGAGGCCGGTGGGCG